AGTCTACCATTCGTCCTTGCTTTGAATATTGCTGCTATATCTGCTATGGCGTTCCTGCTATATATTTAGAGACTAGCAGTAGAGCCCGGCGTTGCCCGGGGATGTAACAGTAAGAGATAGATCAAGTATCGACCATCATAAAGACTGAAATATAAAATTGACAAAGATTATTGTTTAAGGTTGATGGACACGCATGTCTTAATTAGTTTTTTTTTTTTGTTTTTTGTTTTTTTACGAATTGGTCAAACTCAAACTGAAACAAAATCATTGTTTTCAATCGTTATGAGTCTATCGATTGAATAGAATTTTATTATAAACAATTGTCTTGTAAATGGAATTTTTAAAGCATTCTGAAAGTAAAAATAAAGAAAAAAAATGTGCAAGACAATAAAAAACACTACCTGCCAAAAAAAAAAAGAAGTGAAGTTTTGTTGAAATCGGTTGAAAAATGTAGGAAATCCGATCCCATATATAAACGAACACACACAAACAACCCGGGTTTTATAATAAGTATAATTCGATATGAGTTGTCCCCCTTTCATTCTGGTGACAGAATCGTGTTTTCAAATTGATTTCGTGCAAAAACAATTGCGTTTTTCCAATTTTTGGCGCTGTCAGAACCACCGCAATGTAATTTTACGTAGTCCTGTGAAGTTTTGTTGAAATCGGTTGAAAAATGTAGGAAATCCGATCCAATATATAAACGAACAGACACACACACACACACACACTCACACACACAATCTGCGTTTTATAATAAGTAAGATTCTTGATAAAATCTAAAGAAAAATAAGCAATATTATTAGTCCTGACCTGGCAAGTCGGTTTCAGTCTCCTCCCGGTAATGTAACTTCCCTGTCCGTTTACTAGAAATACTTTCATGGCAATTGTTCTAATAAATTTTCCGCTACGGTACACAGACTATATGAATTTAAACGCAGAACTAGATTGGCGCTAATGGCTCATCATTTAATATTTTAAATGCCTAGATGTAACCGTAAGTTCTATGCTAACAGTTTCTTCTCTCGCACCTTTCGCTTTTAGAACTCTTTTCCGGAATTTTGCTTCCCACTCAAGTTTGATATTCAAAAATTGAAATGCAATGTCAATCATTATCTTCTGTCTTCTTAATTATTGTTCTTTTATTGTCCTCTCTCCTTAAGAGCAGTTTTTTTTTATTCTCAAACACTCAGAAACGCTTTGCGTCCTAGTGGCTTTATTGCCTTGGTTGGGTTGAAATGATTATAAAAAAAAACTATAAACGAAAATGGCAGTGCATTGAGAAAAGATGGGCTCCATTTTGGAAAAATAATGTTCTTTGGTTGGGGAGATCACTGGAGTATTATTCACTTAGAAGATTGTTTTTTAAAATGCATTGAAACAAAAATGCACATTCATATGTCCAGCAGCAGCAACTTGTCCATAAATATTTTGGGAAAAGTGTCCTGCAGGTCAATAGAAAAAATATTCTCTTAAATGATAACAAAATACTACACACAAACACACACAAAAAAAAAATAACTGAAACTAGGTATACATTTACTTAATCTTGTACCAACTTTTACATATTCGATGGTTGCAAGTCGCTTTGGTGGGGAAAGTCTTCCTTAATGAAAATCCAAAGAAGGCTCTGCTATGTATACGTTCCTGACACTGCATCTCGACTTCATTCACTTTCTCACCGACGTCACGTGTCTACTCTCTGTCTTTTCTAAAAAATATTTTTATGGCAAATGTTCTCATGAGATTCTTCCCCCGATGCATCGACTACAGGATTTGAAACGGTCTACCGTTTTACTTTTGAAATAGCTACATGAAACGGTTACTTCTATTTTAATAGTTTCTTTTTCCGCACTTATCACCTATGTAAATCCCTTCCGATTTCTTGCATCCCTGCCAACTACAATCTTGAAAAATCTAAATGCAATATCTAATGCTTCTCCTAATAAAAATGATGAAAATAATTACTAGTCAAATAATAATAATGGTAGACAATGCTTCATCTAATAAAAACAATTAAGTAAATAATAGTCAAAAATTAGTAATAACGGCTGACAATGCTTCATGTGATAAAAAATGAAGATGGGAGTAACTGCTAGAGAGAAAGTAATAATAATGGCTGACAATATTTTATCCAAAAAAAAAGGGGATGAAAGTAAAAAATTAATAATAATCGCTGACAATGCTTCGTCTAATACAAAATGAAGATGAAAGTAAATACTAGTCAAAAATTAAGAATGATGGTGAACAATGGTTCACCTTAACAAAAAAAAAAAAGATGAAATATTAGTCAAAAGTTTATGACACATTATATTCCTTTCTTTTCCTCTTTTTTCTGACTATATTTTCAGATATCATTGAGTGGACTCCAGAGTCCGGATCTTAATCCATTTGAAAATATATGGAATTATATTTCTAAAAGATTTCACGCTAAAAAAAAACGACAATTTTAGCCCAATTATACGATTATATTAAACAAATATAGCAGAGCATTCCAGATGATTTTTATGCTCACTTATCAAGCTCGATGCCTAAGTTTGATGTGAAGCTGTTATTAATAATAAAGGTTACGGCACTAAATACTGATAATTTTTTTTTTTTTTGCTCATTTTTACTATATCTTTTTTCTTTAAATATAATAATACGAATGCGACCTTAAACTTTCAATACAAACTAAATCGACGTTTATATGGAACTGTAGAATTTAAATTAGAAGTATAGGGGAGAATTGAAAAAAATTACATTATTGAGCGTAGAAGAAATGCTTTAATTCATGTTTTTTTTTTCTTTTATATAAATGCTTATTAACGAGGTTTCTTGCCAGGTACTTTCGAATGCAATCACATTGCAAAAAAGTGGGATTTTGCATGCTGAGCCGTATCCGGCTTTTCCATGAATTTGTTTACGTCTGGGCGTAATAAAATTGCTTCTTATGCATACATATCATACATATTACTTGCTTTATTACTAAGGCAAGGTTCATGGCAGATTTAGAAATGGAGTCGATGCTCTAAGAAGGGAAATGCACCGGTTGCACTTTAGTAGGAGAAAGCAAGATGTTTACATATGTTAAGTTGGACTCTTTAGTGTTTAATACACTCATTTCTTATGTCCTGATAGAAACTGATTAATCGTGGTGTTCGCTCGACACCGGATGTCCTTTGTTGACATATCGTCGCCTCAACAAAATTACATGAAACCAACCAACATTTTTTCTCTCTCTTACTTTTGTTTTTCAACTCTCTGTGTGGTTACATTTAAATGTATGTTTATTTTTTCCCGTTGTGCATATTGCAGATCTATTATTTTCATCATATTGATCGCGATAGTATATTGGTTTCTTCTTCTTCTTCTTCTTCTTCTTCTTCTTCTTCTTCTTCTTCTTCTTCTTCTTCTTCTTCATTATTATTATTATTATTATTATTTCCTTTGATTTCTGTTGTATACTCATTTCTTTCCGGGTCCCAACTAGAAAACTAAGGTCTGAAAGGGCGTCATGATATTTTCTACTGAACGTCTTTGCAAAAAAATAAAATAAAAATGCAAACAAAATATGAAAACAAATATGAAAAAAATAAAAAAATATGAAATAAAAATATGAAAAAAATAAAAAATACATATATGAACCAAGGAGCACAAACGTTTTGTACTTAGAGGAGGAGTAAGGTGGAATATTGGATAGAAGCTCGGATTGAAGAATCGGAGAACAGAGTTTGAATTCCAGTTTGGGAAAGGCATGAATTCTCTTCTTCTCCTTTTCAGCTATGGGTAAATAGCAGGACAGACCGCGTTTTATAGCCTTGGATGGCAATTGGTCTATCGCAGAAAGAAATGGCAACCTAAGAATCTGCCTTGGAAGTCAAGTATCGAAAGATAACATGATCACCTAAGAGTGTATCACGCATGGCACATAACTGACTGAAGGTGTGAATTGTACGTGTGAGAAAATTTTTTTAAATATTTTTTAAGGCTTAGGCTACCAGTGATTCCTTCAATGAGTTTATCAAAACATTATTATTATTATTATTATTCCTTTGATTTCTGCCGTATACTCATTTCTTTCCGGGTCCCAACCGGAGTCCTTAGATCAGATATGACATTTTTCACTAAGAAAAGAAAAAAAAAACAAAACAAAAAAAAACTAAGATCACACATATTTTACATAGATAATGCACTTCGTTATGTGTGAGCTGTACTTGTGTGTACCATCTTGTGCATTTCGTTAAGGTATGGGCTACCAGGTATCCCTTCAGCGAATCTACGGAATTTTTTTTTCCAATCTGGTAAAACAGGCGTTATTTTTATATTATTATATTTTCTTTTCTTTTCTAGGTTTGTTTTAAACTCGGCAAGTATACGGGAATCTATTATGCTTTATAACCGAGAAACATACTTATATAATGGAATATACACCTGTGTTCATCCTCACTGGAATATGATTGACTGGTGTCCGTCATAAATACACACTGACGTGTAGGTACGACAGAGTTTAAGTCTATGACGACGCCCATTAGACTACGCCATTGGCTATCCAACTGGTCTAAACCTATTACCTGCGACTACGACGAGTACCAGTCGATTAATGCTACCGTGTACTACTTGGTTACAGTAGCCAAAACCACTTAGCTACTTCGATCAAATATATCCCTTTCCGGGACATATCACATACATAATAATATTAACCTGAAATGATTTGAGAAAAATGACATTAAGCATATTTTTTACTTGTTTGTTTTTTTTTTTTACGTTTTATCAACCGAAGCATATTTTGGATTGTAAGAAAAATACATTTTATTTTTTGCAAGTGAATACTGCATTGTCAATTCATAAGATATTTCTCGGGTCTGTTCCATTTTTCCCTACTAGCAAATCCAAACCTATTCTAAATTGGAAGCTGTGATGGACTTGTGTTTACGATTCTGACAAGCAGATATAATAATCAGTATTATAATAGATATGTTTTATTTACTTTCTTTATGCAAATGTTATACTGTTTCAATATGTACAACTGCCCCTCTTCCAACACATTTCTTATTTCCTTCTTTCTCTATCTACAACGTCTCCCCTTTTATATCCTTCCACCGCTTTCTCTCCTTTCTCATCTTTCGTCACCATTTTTTCCCGTTATCTTCCTCCATTTTGCTGGGTTACTGATCCCTGACAATAACCACAGACGTTGCGATATTTGAAAGGCCTTTTTCCCTGTTGCCTCTTGCTACGGTAACAAGTTACCTTTCGCTCCGATAGAGACGAGGCTTGCCAGTAATTCCAAGAAAATGTCTGACAATTTTATTGAACTGTTAATAACTTCAATTTCGTTTCTTTCTTTACTCTTCTGTAATATTTTAATACCTTTGTTATTTGTTTGAAAACCATGTTTTGTATACGCTCTTTTTTGACCGGGACTCATATGAGTCCGCCAAATATTGTTTGCGGGATAAATATATCACAAAATGATAATAATTACCATTTCCGCAACAATTGTTAATATTCTCCCCCCATTTCCTCCTCCCTCTACTTCCTCCTCATTTGTCACTTCTTCCTCGCTCTTTAAAGTTCCTAACCTCTTCCTCCTCCCTAGAAAACTTATTCCTCTCTTGGACATTCTTTTTATCATCACTTTCTTCTTCTCTTCCTACTCCTCTTTCTTTAACGCCTCTCTCCTCTTCTAACGCCTTCCACTAATTCACTTACAAATACTCCTAATACTACACTTTCATTTATCGCTTCTTCCTCTCTCTTTAAAGTTCCTTTCATCTTCCTTTTCAACCTTCTTTCTCTCTTTTTCTATTCATTATTTTCTTCCCTTTTTATTCCTCTTTCTTCAACGTCCTCTTCTAAATCATTCCCCTTCTCCTTTTCCGAATCCTCCTCCTACTACAACTCTTCCTCATTTCTCTCTTCTTTCCCCATCTTTAAAAGTTCCTCTCTCCGTTTTTAACCGTCTCTCCCGCTTGAACCTTCTTTTTCTCTTCGCTTTTTTTCTTCCCCTTACTGCTCCTCTTTCTTCAACGTTCCTCTCCTCTTCTAACTCCTCCTTCTCTTTCAACTCCTCCTACTACTACTCAAACTCTTCATACACCTCCATCACTTACTAGTCCTCTTCCTACTCAATGCCTTCCTCTTTTTCTTCTTTTCGTCATTACTTGTTCTTCTCAACTTTTCGAATCAAAATTTTCCTCCTGACTTTCAAAATATATTTTCATGCTATTAATTCGAGATCATGTTCCGAATCCTTATTTTTCTTTCTTCACTTTTTTAAAATCTTTTCCTTATTCGTTCGTTCTTTCTTTCTTTCTTTCTTTCTTTCTTTCTTTCTTTCTTTCTTTCTCATATCTTCTCTCCATTGTATCTCTGTTAATTTTCTTTGTTTTCTTTTCTTTCTTTCTTTTTTCCTTTCATTCTTTCTTTCTTTTTCCTTTCTTTCTTTCTTTCTTTCTTTCTTTCTTTCTTTCTTTCTTTCTTTTTCATTCTTTCTTTTCCCCTTATTTGCTTTTCACACCTTTCTCTTTCTTTATCTATAATCTCTCTCTCTCTCTCTCTTTCATTTCTATTTCTTGTCATTTCCTCCTCCCACATTTCACATTCTTTTATATATAATCTTTCTTTTTCCTTCTCACTGAATGAATGCATATATATATATATATATATATATATATATATATATATATATATATATATCCAGGTAAGCTGAAAACGAATAGAGTAGTACAGTTCCAACGTTCGTAATATTTAATTTAAAAGAGGGATCAGTACAAAGTAGAGCAATATTATTTATTTCAGGATATTACATCAAGAACATGTCAAAATCGCAACACAAAATGCAGGTCTGTTTCGATGCGACTCAAATGCACCTCCTCGGGCGATACGCATCGAAAAATGACTGTAATTGTGTAGCAATTTTGACATGTTTTCGATAAAATATCCTTATATATATATATATATGTATGTGTGTGTTTGCGCGCAGATATATAAGAAAATAGGAAAGAAAATGGTTGGTAGATAATCCGGAGTTCTTTAGTGTTTTTGTTTTTATTTTAAAAAAAAACAACAAAAAACAGTGCTCCATACAGATGTAGAGCTTAAATTATGATTATTTTTAAAAAAATGATTTCTTCGCTACATAAGAGTTCTCATGTTTCAAAAACGAGAGCCGAAAACCTCAATATAATTATTAAAATTAAATTGAATTAAAGTAACAAGCCCTGTTTCATCCTCAAGAGAAAATTTTGGCATCCTAAATTTTCGCTTGAGAATGAAACAGGGCTTGATACTTTTCCTCAATTTAATTTTAATAGTTATATTGAGGTTTTTTCATCCCTTTTTGAAACATGAGAACTCTCTATGTAGTGAAGGAATCATATTTTTAAAAATAATTATAATTATATATATATATATATATATATATATATATATATGCGTATGTGTGTGTGTGTTTGTGTGCATGTGTGTGTGTATGTGTGTGTGTGTATTTTTCTTCTTTATCAGTTTCCTCTTTCTTTTTCTCCTTTCTTCTTTCCTTTTTTTCCCTCCTCGTACCCCGATTTTATTCCTTTACCTCACAATGTCGGTATGCATATTCTTTTTTTTCTCTTTTTTTTTTTCTCAACATCCCAGGCGTCTGTATGAGGTTTCCTAACTCTTTTCATCCCCACCCCTTTTCCCATTTCGTCTTTGTTCTTTTTAATACTTCGCCTTCAGCGGACAAACTCATTGGGCAACTCGCACCTACAGCGATTCGGGGATTTAAAAGCGTAGACCGGCGAATAATGCCGCCAGCAATTCGACCGAACGTCCGACTTCAAAGGGGAAGAATTATGGCTAACGAGATCCTAAAACGTTTAATGACATAAGTAACAGGCACATCGCTGTATATTTAAACCTGATACACGCAGACACACACAAACACACTCGTAGAGGGTGGTCCGATGGTAACGCTTGTCGAAAATTAGGTGGGTAGGATTGAAGGTACGTTTAGAGATTAACAGGGTATGAATTACCTGAATCTATCTTCTGGCACAGATATGATGAAAAGAGGAAACATACATACATAGATACGTAATAGACGGCTTCTATTTTCAAGCACATTCGTCCGCTACTATGTTTAACAAATCCCTGTTTTAGACATCTGCTCAGCCATATTTTTGTTTGTTAATTACACACAGAACTCACCTGTCGTTTATACGGCAACTATCCTGAGCAGGACTTAATTACAGTTTCTGGGAAGGTGCGAATAATCTATTTCGATCAATTAGTTCGAATAAATCCAATACGTTCAAACCCTAGTTCACTTGTCTCTACGTACAAGCGCGGCTTCCAAATTTTACTCACAAGGAGAAATCAATATTTGCTTAGAGCTACAAGGAGCAGGAAGTAGTGGAGATTCATAATCATCTATATTTTGAAGGGAACGGAATATAAATAAGATGAGGCAGCGTATGAATGGTAGTAAAATGACAGCGAAAATGGCAAGGTATCAAACATTGCTTAGAGCTACAAAGGACAGAAAGTTGTGGAGAGCCATGATCACTCATGTCCTAAAGGAATACAGTACATGAATGAAGTGGCGAGTTACGGATGGTAGACAAGTATAAAGAG